GGACTTGGTGGCATATGCATAGCAGTGTCGTTGGAGCTGGCCATTCTGAGTCGTAGGAGCTTCGAGTTGCTGATGACAACGTCGTGGTGCCGATGGATTTACAATGGCCTGCAGCTGGCGAGCAGGAGAAGCTGGCTTGTTGCATGCTGGGGCTTTCTTATCCGTTTCCTCGCTGTTCCGGTGCTTCACATTGCGTCGAATCTTGGAAGTGTTTCGAGTGCCACGTGTTGGAGCCGCGAAAGGAAGAAGGTTTCGTGCGATGCCGGTTTTCACCAATGTGGCGGCACTGGCGCGCCTGCATGAAGCTGCGCAAAGCTTCTGCGCAGGAGAGGCTTTTGGCCGGTGTAGCCCTTCCGTATGTGAGGGATCTCATCGGTGTCCGAGAGTGGTTTCCGACGCCCGTGGATGGCCAAGCTGAGGAGGAGGACGAGCAGGACGAGCGGTGTCCAGAGCACGGCGCCGGCAGCTCGGAGGACGCCGTCTTGCGAATTCCAGCTGCTGGTGCCGGCAGCTCGGATGACGCCGTCTTGCGAGATCCGCCTACCGAGCCGGACCCCGGCCACTTCGCATACTTCCTCATGTGGTGTTGGGGCAAGATGTTTTCCGATCGCAGCAGTGCTTCTCACGATCTTCCGCGAGTTCACGAACGAATTTGTTGCTTTTTGGGCATTCCCTGTGGATTTCACTATACTCAACTCACTGCCCTGGAGCATATGTGTCACGTGCAAGATACCTGGCTGGAGCGACTATCTTTACATCATTCGGCGAGACAGACGAGCAGCAGCCAGCGCAGAGCGGACCGCTTTGCGTACGTATCCAAAGCGGACGAAGATGGCGAGGAGGCTGGCATCCCTTTCTTGTCTTGTGTGATGTTTTCTGCGTTGTTTTGCTACTTGGATGATGACAGGACGATGCAGGGCCCGTGGACATCGAGGGTGACGGCGTCCCGGACGACCTCGAGCACCAAGATGCCATCGAGCGCACTGAATGCGCCGAGTACGCTGTGTCCATGGATGCCCTGGCGGAAGTTTTGTTCCGCGACAAGGAGTGGAAGAGTGCAATGTCGGGACGTGCGAGCAAAACCAAGGAGGCGTTGCAATGCTTGAAGCTCGTCGTGGACGGTCTCGGCGGCTTGCCAGACGTTCAGGCGGCACCTTCCGGTCCAACTGTCGGTGCTGCTGGCATTCGGAGAATCTGGGCGCAGGGCGACGCCCAAGCGGCCTTCGACCAGCAGCGTCGTTACCTGGATAAGGTTGCGGGAGGTTCGGAATGAGAGAAGCCGGGTTTGCGTTGCGTGTCTCCTCGTGTCTCGCTTTCACGGTGGCTGGCAGGTGTTTCAGAAGAAGCGGCGAGCGA